AGAGAGAGAGAGAATGAGTGGGGAGAGAGGTAGAGGGGTAGGGAGAAGCAGACTCCCTGCTGAGCAGGGAGCCTGACATGGGGTTCAATCCCAAGACCCTGAGATTATGACTTAAGCTGAAAGCAGACACTTGACTGACCGAGCCACCCAGACACCCCCTTATATCTTTCTTATATATCTCCTACTTTCCTACATGTAGAGTTGCTTCCCTTATTTTCATCAGTTTTAATTACATTTAGCAGAATTTTAACTCTTAGAAAACTTAGTCTCTTAGTAAAAACTAAGTAGTAACCAACTGTGAACTGTTACACCAGAATTCTTTCAATGGCAAATTTATGAATCAATTAAGCACAAAGCATGCTTACCAACAAACTCAACTATCCTTAGTTTCTCCGCAATAAGAAGCCAACAAACCTACATTCACTAATCAATGCTTTAGTACTCCTTTCTATTTGGAAAAAAACTAGATATCTGATGAATTCAATCCCAAATATCATCCAGGCAAAACTTTAAAGTTTCAGGCTACCAAAGACTATCTTAACAATTACCCATGAAAACCTTGAGATGGACAAAATTAACCATCATTTTAAGTCATCTTTTTGCTGACAAATTGCAACAGAGATAACACAAGCTTATTTGACCTTTAGTAAACCTTGGTAGAATAAAAAGTTTCATATTTAATGCTGAGAACTCTAAAGACATGTCTATCTTAATTAAACCAACAAACTTAAATTAGTTTAAATAATGAATTATGTTCCACGTGGGTCCCCTTAAGAGTCAATCAATTTGTTTCCCATTGTTAATTTTTGCCTGGGGCACCAGTGTGGAAATCTGAAGTGGGCAGGGTTAGGTCCAACAGGGTGCTCTTTGCTCCTTGACAGCAAGGATAGGAGGAGGAGCCAATGGTGCCAGAGGCACTGAGGATGATATAGGAGACAGTTATGCAGGCTGCACCGAAGGTGGTGCAGAAACAGGAGGGGGAGTGGGAAGGCAGAAGAGGTGAGGTGCTACCAGGAAGGCTGGAGGCAGATAAGAGTCCAGAGGGCAGAGAAAGAGGTCTCTTGGTCTTAAAGCTCACCCACTTGGACAGATGAAAAGACAGGTTGAAATGATGGCTGAAACCAAGTTTGCACTGCAGTTCAGAGTCTAGATGAGAAGATTCAGCCCCACATTGGACACCAAAATGATGTGGTTTGAAGTGGTGGGGTTCAGAGCCCATGGTCAAGAAAGAATTCTTGAGACACCTTTGGTGCAAAATGGTGGCTT